TAATGCTCACAGCAGCCAGATGGCGCCTTTGGCATGTTCGAGGCCAAACAGGTCTTGACTTTGAACTTCGCAGATTAGCTTGCGTGCGTGCGTGGTCAAGGCGGCTCTTGGGATATTTGGCAGCGTCTCAAGCCAGGCCCTTTTTTCCACGGATGTAACCTCAGCGAAAGTCTTGATGGCTGCCAGTTGGGTCATGTTGGGTCTAAAAAAACCTCAAGCATATGGACCTCTTGGACCTTTCGTCCGCAAAGCAGATGGGTTTTTCTGAAAAACTCGCCCTCGAGGCCCTGGGCTCGGAGTCGGAGGAGCCGAAGGCGAAGAAGGCGGCGGCTCGTGGGATGAACGCTTTGGATGTCGATGTATTTCGGTGAGATGAGGATGAACGCCTTTCCAGTGAGACTCGGTTGTAGCTGATGTGTGAAGTGTGTGGGATGAAGTTTGTGGGATGAAAGTTTGTAGCTGACGCGCGCCTATTCTTTCCCCTCTTTTTCCCCAGTTGCCACTTCTGTACCGAGGGAAGCTTCAGTAAGGCGACAAGGTAGTGCCTGAGAGGGTAGTTTCCTACAATGTACCAACCATGTTGTGGATTCCACGTTCCAAACCACTTGAAGAAGACAAGCGGATCAGCGCTGCTGATTCCAATGCTGTCCTTTTCCTTTTTTCTTTTTTTAGTTATCCCTTTAAACACAAGCCCACACCAGGGTTTTCTTGCCGGTCTGGGTAAGTCAAAAGCGGCCCAGGTTCGACTTGGTTTTATGGTGGCACGGCGAATGCAGTTCTTTGCAGCCATAGGCCATGGTGGTAGAACAGAATGCAAAGAGTGCGGATTCTGAGAGATGCTTTGCCCCGATTCATGGAGGGCATCAACCCAACGGTTTGGCGGCGGCCAGGATTTATCTAGTCCTGGTTTCTCAATGGCGGATGTCGCATTCGGAGGGAACCTTTTGTTTCTTTTTGACACATTGCCAGCCGTGCAGATCAATATGGAGCCCATGAAACCGCATTTGTTCGAATCTCATTTTGGCGTACCTCGTTGGGGGTGGGGGGTAGTCGTTGACCGCTTGTGGCCAGGCCTGAGGTGAGCGGCCGAATTCCATGCCGCACCTGGCTTGCCCGAGGCATTGCTATCACTTTCAACGAGGCCTACTGAAAACTGCCAGAAGGTAGAAGTTTATGGTTGGAATGGATCACATCCAATGCGCTTTTGCCGTCGGGCAAGGGGATAGCTGCATAGCTCAGCTCCGCAATGAAGGTGCGGCCGCAGGAAAAAAAACCGGGCGCAGGCCACAAGACGGTTTAGCCAGTTCCGCAACACGAGCCCATGAGATCTCTTAATCGGGGACCTCCAAAGTCGGAGATGAACTTTCATGTTCAAAAACGGGTCTCTGGGTCTCTCTCAAGATTCACGCCCCCGCAAGATGACTTGCTTCTGCCGGGGGGGGACATGTATCTCTTTTTTCAGCCGAAGGATGATGGCATCCAAGCCTCCGTCACCATCCGCTGGCGGCTGAGATGGTTTCACCTCGTCAGCCAACTGGGCTTCGGCTTCCTTTCGGCCTCAGGCCTGCCAGTGCAGAAGGTCAGTGGTGAGGACGAGGACGGTTTCCCTCCAAGGGCATGCGCCCGGCATGCGACGCGATTTTTGGTCCCAAGAATGCAGAAGTTCTTGCCAAGCACACCCACCACTGCAATCCACTTATTTGCCCCCTCCCAGTTTGAAACCCCCCAAACACTACTCCGCAACCGAGCTGCCGAGTGAGGAGCTTTTCCTCAAGAAGGCCGGCGCCGGAGCTTGGAGCCGTTTTGTTCCCCGGCATGTCCCCTTTTTTTGGCGGGTTTCTCGAGCTGACCGAGGTTTTGGAGGTTATTTTTTTGGATTGGTTGGGACCATTTCGGTGGTACACAGCAAGTTTGGACCTTTTTTGGGCCAGTCCATTCAGGAAGTGAGCTTTAAACATCACCCAACCTGGGCCACACAACTTTTTAGCCTCCCTTCAGATCGGAGGCAACTCTTTTTGGAGCCCTGTTGTCAGTTCTTGCGGTTGGAGAGTGAGACACCCTGTGCTTTAGGGTCCGGCGCAAGACATTGGGACGGGGGCCGTTGAGTTGAGAGCTCATTGCAACGTGCGAAGAGAAACTGTCGCCGTTGCAAGGTAGCACTGCAAAACCTGTATGCGCAAAGCTCAGCTTCGCACGGGAGTGAAGTCGTTGACGTTGTTGTTTTTACATCAACTAGGTCCCGCAGTAGTGCCCTTTCTCACCCCTTCTTTTGGGGAGGGTCTCACCCCTTTTTTTGGGGAGGGTTCCCCTCCTAAAATAGACTACAGAAAAGGGTACCCTTGTTCTAACCTCTGTACTGGAGGACCTAGTCAACCACTTGGAATGCCGGCACTCCATGAGTCTATTTCCGCCGAATGCGACGAGAAACCCAGCGGGGTTTCTTGATGCTGAGGCGCAGGATTTCAAGGGCAAAGACAAGGGGAAAGGAAAAGGAAGCAAAGGCAAAGGGAAGGGCAAGGACGGGGTTTGCGCGATGGACACTGGGGCGAGCGCCACGGGGCCGGGGATACTCAAGATTCCTCTTGAAAAAGGGGGCAAAGAGCCCTCAACGATCCCCAGCATCATTGCTTAGCCTTTCGTAGGTGGTCTTGTATCCCGGGTGGCGTGTGCACCGCATGGAGGCATTTGTTCAAGAGACGACTTGCGATGGGCAGCTTGCCGTCCCACCGCCCATGGAATGCTTCGGCTCGTTGCCATGTCAGGATTCAAAGGGTAAGGGAAAGGCGCGCGGGGCCTGGGGAGGGGTGAGAGGCGGTCAACGGCACGGCACTGGCCAGTGGAGAAGTGTGTGTGTGTGTGTGTGTGTGTGTGTGTGCTTTCTTGCTTGGTCTGTTCTGCTCTGTTCTGTTCTGTCTCTGTCGGTTTCTGTCTGCCCCTGTTTGTCTGTGTCTGTCCGTATTTGTCTCTGTCTCTCTGTCTGTATCTGTCTCTGTCCGTCTCTCTCTCTGCCGGTCTCCGGTCTTCAGACTTCTCGCGAGGGAAAGAAGGGGAAGAAAGGCAAGGGCGCGGTGCTGAGACGCGAGATGAGACTAGAGGACTTGGGACGAGTACCTTTTTTGGAGGCCGATCTTGAGGGCGCCCTATTTTGAGACAAATGTTTGTTTCTGTTTTTGTGGGAGGGGGGGAGGGGTTATCAAAGTGAGGTGATTATTTCCCTCTTTCTTTTCTTTTTATTTATTTTTTATTTTTAGTTCTTTTTTTATTTTTTTCTTTTTATTTTTTATTTTGTTTTTTTTTTATATCTTGTATATTTTTTTTTTGTTTTTTGTTTTTTGTTTTTTTTTTTTTATTTTTTTTTTTTGTTTTTTTTTTTTTTTTTTTTTTTTGTTTTTTTTTTTTTTTTTTTTCACCTAACCTCTTAGGAGGTTGCTTTGCAAAGCAAGGGGACCAGCGAGTCGAAAAACCACCCAGGCAAGTCTCGGGTGCAGATCCCAAACATGGGGACCATATGGGATCAAAGGGTCAGGGTCAGGCTGAAAGCCCCTTTCCAGCAGAAGTGAGGTCGATTTCAAACACACCTCCGGCCCCGGTCCCAACATTTGGTTTTTGCGCAACATTTTCCTGGTGTTCTAAGGATCCTTTCACGGCTTTTTCGGGCGGCTTTGAATGGACCTCATGTGGCGATGCGACACGTTGAGCCCCGACCCAAAACCACGCCACACTGCGGTAGTTGCGAAACATGTTTCATCTTTCAGCGTAGGCTTGACACCGGATTCTAGTATGCTCGGGCGTCGTTGTTCTTCACCGGCTGGTACTCAGTTGAGTACAGCCTGTTGAGGGTCCCGGGTGTTCCATTAAGACGGGATCTTTCTTCGCTTGGGTGTGAGTTTTAATTGGGCACCCTTTGGTGTTTGGTGGACGTTGTTCAGGTGGGGATTTCTGTCCACCAACCATGGTCTTCTTCATTAGGATTCTTCGCCACTTGTAGGGGTAGGGCCAAAGAACAAGCATCTGGCGCGCTACATGTTCTCTTAGTACCTGAATGGTATTTCTTATGCCAATATGCTATGTTAAAAGCTGTGCCAAATAAAAATGCAGGATTCATTATCTTATTTACTTCTATCTTCATCTTATTTTACTGTATGAGAAGTCTCTCTTTTTCATTCTATTTCATAATGTTTACATCTAGTAGATTTAATGGTTTTATTTGTGCTTCCTTTTTCTTTTATTTGGATAGGTGGTCAATTTCCTGTAGACAACTTTCTATCTTATGGTCGTATCTTGACATGTAATTATTATTATTTTCTTATCTGTATCTTGTTGTCTTCTTATTTGGATTTCTTTTATTATTTTGGATGCGTTTGGAGATGAAAGTAAATGAGATAAGATGGCATCATATTGTATCTCTTCATCTCTTAATTTGGAAAAGACGCCATCATTTGTATGATCCTTGAAAGGCCCCAAGAAGCCTCTGCAACCGCTGGCCGAGAGAGAGCGCTGGGTCGAGATTCGGATTCGCGAAGTCTCCGAGGCAAGAAGTCCAGGGATGATTGAGGCGGAAAAGGAAACACTGGAGCGACTCGGGGGAGAGGCAGCTTTTGGGTTGTCAAGACGATGGCCGGTTCCTTTTTGGACACTGGTGCCACCCCAAGGTGCCGTCGTTTAAAGCGGAGGCCAAGGGCCGACAATTTTGAACCCCCCCAAAAATGTGTTGCTGCGAGAGAAGGGGTTGTTGCAGTGTGCGCAGCTGGTGTATCTGCAGCTTGGTCGCAAGGCACCGCAACAACCTGCAGACAACCACACACACACATGAAGCAGAAATCAACATGCGGGCTTCAGGGTGCCATGCCCGTGTGCCCAGGGCAGAATTCTAGGCATGTTGCCATTTGGGGCCAAAAGAGTTGAGGCTTTCTTTTTTCTCCCCGAACATCTGCGAGAGTTTCTATTTTAAAAAGCTGAAATTAAGGAGTTTTCAATCCACCGACGCATTTTGTGTACCCGTTTGGTACCCTTTGCAGATTGCATGTGATGTGTAGTCGCTGCTGGGTCACAGCCCTTGTGCCCATGGAGCAACATCGATGCTCTCAGGCCGTTCCGAGCATGGCCTGAACTCGGCTGAATTCTGGGGGGTGTTTGGACTTTGGGCATTCTTTTGCTTGAGGTTTGTTATGCAAGTTTGGACCCGGCATCTAAAGATGGATCACGGCTTTCTTTTTTTTTTTTTTTTGCTGGGGGGGGGGGGGACCTTTTTTTTTTTTTTTTTTGTGTACCCTTGTTGGGGTAGAGCCATTTGGGGGGGTACTTGTTTTTTTTTTTTGGCCCCCAAGTTCGTGGGAGCCATTTTGGGGGGTCCAGATCTCATTTGGGGGCAGGTAGCAGTGTAGCAGTCTGACGCACATCTCTCTCACCTCATGTCAGGTAAAGGGTCGGGCGTCAAACCGCTAGCCCAGCAGGGTGCGACCGCCCGGCCCAGCTTTAAGCGGAAACCTGAGGTTGTTCTAAGCAATGGCTCAACAGGGTCCGTAAAGGATATATGGGGGCGCCACTTCCCGTTTAGAACAAAAATATTGGAGGGGGGGTGTGCTTCCCCGACCGGCCCTACAAGCGAACATGTATGCATATATGTACATATATATATATGTATATAGATTTATATTTATGTGATGTGTGGCACCCCCCCCCCCCCCAATCGTCCTTTTTGTCTGTCTTCAACTGCGATGCCCACTACATGTGACTCTGCAAAAGGAACACGACTCTCCAAAACCGTTTAAACCGGTTGAACCCTTTCTCAAGAGGAAAGGTCTGGGCCCAAAACCGTTTAGAAACCGTTTAAACCCTCTGTCAGAGGAAAGGTGGGCCCAAAACCGTTTAAACTGTTCAAACCGTTTAAACCCTCTTTCAGAGGAAAGGTCTGGATCCAAAACCGTTCAAACCGTTTGAACTGAACCGTTAGAACCTTCTCTCAGGTAGAACCCTTGGGGGGAAGGGCTTTCCACTGAGAAAGGGCTTAAACGGTTCAAACGGTTTAAACGGTTCAAACGGTTTAAACGGTTTTGGGCCCTGGGCCCTGCGGGGGGGGGGGGGGACCTTTCCTTTGAGAAAGGGCTGAGAAGGTTAAAACGATTTAAACGGTTTGAGGCCTTGAGGGGGTCTTTCCTCTGAGAAAGGGTTTAAACGGTTCAAACGGTTTAACCAGTTTGGGGCCCTCACTTTTTTTTTTTGGGGGGGGCTCAGAAAGGGTTTAAATTGTTTAAACGGTTTGGGCCCTGTCTCTGTTCTTTGCTGTTGTTTTTGGCATCTTCTAACCAAACCTCAGTTTAGACATAGGACAGGGGTAGATCCAAACCGACTTAAATTTCATGCAGATTGTCTGAAGCTTGCAGATTGTCTTTGGACATGCGCTCTTCTTTCTATTTTTTTTTGGGGGGGGGGCTGCTTTCCCCAAAGCCCTAAAGGCAGAAGACACTGCAAATACCTATGAATTCTGAAAAGTAATTTCAACAGGTGAATGTTTACAGTATGTCAAGTTAGACTTTAAAGGCGGTCTCCTTTTCTTCTTTTACTCCTAGTGCGATGTTCCAGTTCAAAGATAATGTAACTAGGTTTCCTGTTCAAATAATATGTGTAATAAATCACAAAACACCTTATGTTAAAACACGCCTATCTAAAATATCGCTAAAACCCGACACTCTCCTAGACTTATGTCATTCTTAGATGATATTTAGATTATGATCGAACAATAAACATGAAAACACTTCAGATTCTTTTTTTGTTGTTTTTCAAACTAGATTCTAAAGGGGGTCTCTTTTTCTGGGATCATGCTTTCAATTTTCGATAAAGTTCAAGTGGAGTTTAGTAAGAACATAATCCTAGCACAATTTCTAGCTTAACGATAGTCTAAATAGGTGCTCCTTTTCAATGTCGAATTCGACATTGGAGTTTAAGTCGTGTTATAGTTGTATTTGTTGATCAGACATTAAATAGAATTTAATAAGGACATATTTCTAGTAGAGTGTCTAGTTTCAACAATATAGTTTAAGTAGGCGTTTGTTAAAACAATATTATTGAATGGATTTTTTAAATGTCAAATTCGACTTTGACGCGGGTCTCTTTTTCTAGGATTCCAAGTTTCTAAGTGGAATTTAGATGGCAATTAGCAGTGAACCATCCTAATATAGTTTCTAGTTTTAAAGATGATGTAAATAGGACTTCCTGTTGGAATACTATGTTTATTTGCGACTCTTACTTCCAATTAGATTTTAAAGATGACTTCCTTTCCCAGTTTTCTTTTTTCAGTTTCTATTTCGAATAGATAGATTTCAATAAGGTTGTTTGCTTTCCCCAAAGCACCAAACGGCGTACAACTCCGCAAATATCATTAAAGCCAAAAAAAGCCGACATTTGGAATGGCGGGGGGGGGGGGGGGGTTAGCATGTATCTGTACATTGTACATTTAGATATACTATATATATATATATATATGGCCTTCTGTCCGTTGCGTCAGGTGGCCTCAGCACCGCCGCCTGGTGCGCGCGGCAGACGAGTGAGGAGCTTCCGGCGCTGCTCCTTGGGCGGGTCGGGGCTCTTTTCGGGGCGTGGGGGGGGGGGGGTAAGTCCTTCCATTGGCTTTTCCTCTTTTCCTCTTTTCTTTTTTGTTGGGGGGGGGGGGTTATAGCTTCCAATAGTTTTTAAAACTTCCTTTTGCTGATAGTTTATTTTTTCGCCCTGTTGATATTTAAAGCCATGAGCAAGTGTTTTTTTTTGGGGGGATCCCGAAAGTTTAAGCTTTTGGAGTTGTTGTAAAATTGCAGATGAATACACCCCTGTTTGCTAGTCTGGGGTGTGTGCCTGGTTTCAGTGGAGATTCATCACTTGTCGAGGGGAATCCCCTCATATCAACAAATAGGGGTTTAATCCGAGGTCTTCGTAAAGTCTATCCCGGGCTGTTTAAAGGCAGACCTTCATTCTTGGGGTGTGAAAGGCGTCTCTTGCCGCATGTGATTTTCCTAGTTCCGTCTGGATTTTGGATTGCCCAAGCCTCAATGTTGAGCCCCTCTTTCCTCCGGATTTCCTGGACTCCAAAATTTTTGGAACAGCCCAAAACAGGGGCAAACAACGTGTCACCAACAGCGATGGGAACCCAGTCGATCAAGACCCCCTTGTCTACAAGCCTAAGAAGCTTCCGAGAAGCTTTCCTTAGCCCCTGGTTTCCACCCGAAGGGTTGCCATGGACCCTTTGCCACTCAGAGAGAATTGCGGAAATTTGTCTGCATCCTCACTCTCACTGAGTTCCTAGACTTCTGTTTTTGGTGGGCTTATGTCAAACAAAGCGTTTGGTGACTTCTTTTGGCCAATCCACTCAGGAAGTGAGTGCAGAATTCTTTAATGAGCCCTTGGCGTTGGGTTGAGACTTTCTCTGAGCTCTTTCGACTAAATGCTTCCGTCGTATCACCGAGCATGAACAGCTACTTAGTTGGAAGCCATGTCCTAGGTTGCAGCGCTGCTGTCGAGATGGTAGCCACTCGTGTCACTGAGCTGGCGCTTAGGTGGGCGGCAGGGATGTAAGGACCTGACTTTTCCTTATTTTGAAAGGAATCTTTCCTGCCCTCTACTCCCAGAACCTTTCAAAATTTGGGTGCAAACGAAAATCCTGTCAAACAACCTCGTTGAGTTTTCCAAACTTGTGCAAACACCACACAAAACCCCGTAGCAAACACCCGTACAACACCCATATGTTTGCTTACTTTGCCAAACAGTTTTTTCTCCGCGAAGAACCAGGTCGTTCTTGAGAACCTTTATAACATGTTCTTGGAGTAGAGGGTGGGGCGCCGCGGCCCCTTCTCAAATGCTTAGAGGAGACATATGGTTCAATAGTTTTAGACGATCAGTAGCGCACATCTTCGGTTGTGTTCCAATGCCTTTCGGGCATTGGCGGTTGTCGAAATCCCAGGCTGTCAACCGCAAACTTGGGAGCCGAGCGAAAACCCATTCAGGTTCTTTGCTTGGGGATACCTGTGGAAGTACTGTGGGTATAGACGAAATCCATGTCGCACCTCCTGAGAAGTCCTGGAATGCTTCGATTCCCCTGTGAATACAAACGAGCGATGGAATCAACCATGGTTTCAAAGTGGTGCGAACGAATTTTGTCCATCGTAGGGTTTGGCAAGATTTGGAGACTGTTGGACAGAGGGTAGGGTATTCCTCGAGAATCCCCTCGCAGGCGGACGCGAGGCAAAACCACTTGCCCCCGAGGCTTCGACATGGCGGACGCCGTGGGTGCGAAGTGTTGCAGGCAGGACACGGACGCGGGATTCTACGGCTTCGTCCTCCCCCTGCGGAGCTTTTCTCTGAGCCACGGTAAGCCAAAAAGCGGTTAGTTCCCATCGGCACATCCGAAACGATGCCAACCACTTGAGGGCGGAAATTCCTGCGGCTTTGAACATCACCTCAAGAGGAAACTGGTGGTTGTTTGCTTTGAATGGCCCCGAAGGCGCTGCTGAAATCAGAGCAGCAGAAAGCGCACAGTGGGAGGTGTGTTGGAACCGTCGCCTCCCGAGGAAGAGTACCTTCGCTGTTATTCGGGCCCCAGTAATTAAGGCATCCACCCAGCAAATCCTGAGGTTTCTCAGATGTTGACAGGCCTCTTTTTCTTGTTTGTCTGTCTGTCTGTCTTTCTGTCTGCCTTTCCCTTTAATTCTTTCTTTCTTTCTTTCTTTCTTTCTTTTTTTCTTTCTGTTTTGCTTTTTTTGTTCTCGCTCTCTCTCTCTCTCTCTCTGTTTTTCTCTTCCCCACTTTCCGAGGAACGGGACCCCGCACGACCTGGACAGCTGCAGCGAGCTGCCGTGCCTCTTCTCGCTGGCCAACTTCCAAACCGTCAGCTCCGACCCTGCGGAGGCCGTGCCGGCGCCTCGCCCCGCGATCCGAGCCGCAGCTTCTTTTTTTTTTTGGCGCACGGAAAGCGGGGGTGTCGGGAAAAGCCTGGCCAGGTCCCCCAGAAGTGCCCTTCTTAAGCCCTTTTTTGGTTGGGAGGGTTCCCCTGCTAAAATAGACTGCAGAAAAAAGAATCGGTACCCTTATTCTAACCTCTCTACTGGAGGACCTAGCTAGGGTTCCCAAGGCGAAAATTGGTGGTTTGGCTGGGGGATTTGGAGGTAGAGGTTTTTGAAGTCAAATGGGAAGGTACCCCGTAGCGTCCGCACCAAACCAAACCACTGTTTTGACAGTACTAGGTGTGTTTTGGTGGCTTTTGAGAGTTGCTCAGGATTGGTTGGCTGGCTGTGACTTGGTCTTCGGCTGGCTGGCTGGCTGGCTGGCTGGCTGGCTGGTTGGTTGGTTGGTTGGTTGGCCGCTTTATCGGCACCACTAGCTTGGACATAGGGCTGCTTCTTGGCTCTGATTTTGTGGGCTCGGCAAAGGGCTGATCTCCAGATAGGGTGGATTTAGGTTGGACTTCTTCGGTCGGCTTTTACTTGGGCTTGGGCAGGTTGCCGCACGGAAGGGCAGCCCAGGAGGCTTTCCCTAGCCCTGAAAACGATCCCCACTGAGAGGTCCCTGCATCACTAGCAACCATACAGCTCCATACAGGCTTTGGTTTCTTTTGGTTTCCGCTTCAAACTAGCCCTGCCAACATGCTACTCTTCAAGCCACCCGCCCCACCGAAAAGTCGCTCCTAGGGCCCCTTTTCGCCCAGGAACTGCAGAGCCTGGGCCTTTTGGCGACGCAGTGGCAGCCCTACTTGCCCCTCACAGGCACCACGAGTCCCATTTTGATGGACCGAGTCCGCGTCAACGAAATTGCCGCGGCGCCCATCTTCTACCACCGGCTGTTCCATGACTACGCCGAGGCAGTCGGACCCAAAAATTGGTGTTTCCGGAAGGGGACCCTTGGCTTGTTTCTCGGCGGCCTGCCTGTTTGAAACCATGCAAGAAGGGGCACCGAAGAAGCGTGCCCTTGTTGTTTTGCCCGCTCATGGCCCTCAATGATCCTCAATGGTTGTTAATAGTCACCAATTTTCGGCTTCAACACCCTGAGCCTTCAAAGCGCACTCCAAACCACCAGTTCGAGAGGAGGTGATATGATTCCGACTCGGTACATGAAGCAACGTAGAACTTGGCACGTCGCGAGGTTGTGCCTCAGGGGCTCTGGGAGTATGCCCACTACATGAACCACAGGCACCCGCCTCATTGATCGATGCCGATCGAGGGAAGCGTGCGATCGAGGGCCTGCTGGAATGGGTTTGTCTCCACCTCGCTTTCTCTCCTCGTTTCCGGACCCGATGCTGTCATGAGCCCCAATCTAAACCTACCTTGAGAATCTTTTAGCCCCCCTCCCTGGGGGTTCACCCCGAGTTCCAGTCTGGTGATGCAAGGAGATGGAATTGCGGGGACCTCCTCAACTTCCCACCGTAAACCACCTCCTCCAAGGGGTCCGCTTACGTTTTTTTGGCTGGCCAGCTTACTCCTCATCTTTTGGCCATGTGCTTGCATTTGCCGTATTAGTCTCATAGTTGAACCGACCGTTGCACAAGGAATCATCCCTCCCCTCCCTCCCCTCCCCACCCCACCCCACCCCAACCCCTCTCCTCCCCTCCCCCGTCCCAGGCCGCGCTTCGAGGCCGCGCTGGCGGCAAGGACGTCCCCGCGGCTGCGCGGCTGCGAGCAGCTGCTGGCGGCGCGGGCGCGCGCCACCGCGGACACGGCGGCGCTGCCGTGGCTGGCGCGGAGGCGTGGGATGGGCGAAGGGGCGGTGCTCGTTTTTTGAGCACCCCCCCCTGTGTTTGGTTCTCAGACCAATTGATCTCCCGCAACACTTGGCTCAAGGCCCCTTTTGTATATCATTGCATTATTCATGATCGCGTGAAGCAAAAGAACCTTAGCAGGCCGCTTACAGGGTTATCCACAAGACAACCCACCAGGGACAATCCATCCTCCAATCATCCACAGTGGCATATTGGATTCTCTCGGGAATAGATCCAGGGACCAACACAACGACCTTTACTACCACAGGGTACCAGTTTCATCACATCTGGGAATGTTCGATCATATCCTGATCCACACTTCATGTACAGGTGATGACGGACAATGGATTTTAGGGTGCGCGAAGTCTCCATTGCGTACTCCATTCTGTCCACGAGTGGCAAATCTTTCGTTTCATTCCACAGTCTCTGATATGCTCTCATTAGGATGTTCACGAGACCGTTGGCCGGATTGAAGACGTGCTGGAGTTTGCTGTAGGTGTTCGCTGATTTGTTGGCGTCTCCGGTGATCGCATCGCATCGTGACTTTGTACCGATGCGATGCGATCACCAGAGACGCCAACAATTCAGCGAACACCTACAGCAAACTCCAGCACGTCTTCAATCCGGCCAACGGTCTCGTGAACATCCTCATGAGAGCATATCAGAGACTGTGGAATGAAACGAAAGATTTGCCACTCGTGGACAGAATGGAGTATGCAATGGAGACTTCGTGCACCCTAAACTCCATTGTCCGTCATCACCTGTACATGAAGTGTGGATCAGGGTATGATCGAACATTCCCAGATGTGATGATGACTTTCGTATTTGGATGGGGCAAAACGAACATCCAGCAGGCTTTCCGGAAGGACGAGATGAACGGCATGGATGATGAACAACTGGAATTCATGCGGAACCATCCAACCAAGGCCATATTCGATTACCAGGTCTCATCCGCAGAGCGCTTTAAGCACGTGAACAATGACATGTTCATGAATGGCTCGCAGGACTCCGACTCTCACAGTCCTCTCATGATTTACATCCGCAGCAAATCTGCAACCAGGCAACGCAGCTCTGAGAGATACCAGGAGTACATCAAGAAGAAACAAGCCTGGACCCCGCAGGAGTACAAGGACTACAACAAGCATATGGAGACTATGGCAGTCAATCCGACAGCAGCCGCCGATGGTATCGTCGATCCGACTGACCATGAAGATTCATACGTTCAGCACCACGAACTCAATTCAGATGATTGATCCTCGCCGTCTACAAGACTATACCATGAGTGAGAGATCAATAGTTTCACAATCGTTGCGCGTGTACATAGCGTTGTACATCACCCTTTGATACATCTAGGTATCTCAAAAAGAAGCAGTACATAGTGTTTTCCATTTCGAAAGCCAAGACATTTCATCCGAGCAGAAAAGAGGATGAATCCGGCATTTTTAATACACATGGCTACGGCATACAGCATGGCTACGGCATACATCAAGGCTACGGCCAAAGGCCATGAAGCCAATAGTATTTCATACTTAGTGCTGGAGATCAAAAGAAATTTGTGTCTGTTTTGTGTTTGGTTCTCAGACCAATTGATCTCCCGCAACATTTGGCTCAAGGCCCCTTTTGTGTATCATTGCATCATTCATGATCGCGTGAAGCAAAAGAACCTTAGCAGGCCGCTTACAGGATTATCCACAAGACAATCCACCAGGGACAATCCATCCTCCAATCATCCACAGTGGCATATTGGATTCTCTCCGGAATAGATCCAGGGACCAACACAACGACCTCTACTACCACAGGGTACCAGTTCCCTTCGGGGATAGGCACCCCCCGCTTTTTTGTTGGTTTGGGCGCGGGGAGGGGGAAGGGGGGGAAGTGGGGGGGGGGGGTGCCTAGAAAAAGGTGGGAGCATTTTCTGGGGGCCTATTTTTGCGAAGTTGGGCCTGCATAACAAACATTTACAGAATGCAAAGGCAGCGGGTTTGGGAGCTGCTCAACTCAGCAGCGCACTCTTCTGCTAGCCGCTTGCCTTGTTGTTGGGTGGCAGATTGGTTGCTGTGGCATTCTATTGGGTTTAGTTGGATAATGTGGCATCCCTGGAGGAGTCCAACTCTCCCGATAGGATGGTAAGGCCAAGGTTATACAATCTTTTGTTTCCTTCACCTTCTCAATTCGCTGTGGCTTAGGCTTGGCATTGATCTCACTCATGGCATTAGCCTTATTGTGCACCACCTAGCAGAACCCTGGAATGATTTGACTCCCCAACGTAAATTCCAGCAAACGTTATGCTTTCCTGCACATTAGGTACCTGGGAGGTCTCTGGCATGCAAACACTCCCTGATGAGCGCGGAGCCTGGACCTCCGTGGCACCAGCTTGCCCCAACTCGCCAGCCAAAGGGCACCAAACCCCTTCTCGGCGATTCCTCTTCTGAGCGGTACGTTCCTCTTGTCCAGAAAGCTGTGAAAATATGTATATACATATATTTGTATACATAATATGGATATAGCGGGTCTTGTGCTGGCAAGCTGCTGGACTTCGCAACCATCCACGGCATCTCACATGTCTTGAGGTATCCTCGTTCCAGTCTTTTTTCGGTTGGCACGAGGGCCAGCGGAGTTCTCGCGTACGCCATGTTCCGTGCATGGCCATCCCATTGGCTTTCCCTGTGGATTGGAACAGCCGCAGGTGGGCCGAGCGGGGCAACAAGCCGTTTGCTGCTTGGCAACTGCGCGAGTTCACAGAGGGTTCATAGGTGTCTTTTTTTTGCTGTTTTGCCAGAAAAATAGATGGCCCTGGTTTATCTGGTTTAATCATCTACCAGGGCCATCTATTGCCCTAAGAGGACACCTATTAGAGTGTTTAAAGTGCTTCTTGATGTTCACTGTTCCCATCCCCCACGCTGGGGAACTGCTTGCTCTCAAAGATTTTTGCAAGCAAATAGGACAAACCCCCACGAGCTGCTGGCATGCCTGAGGAGAGCGCAGGGAGTGAGCGGGGTCACCCATTTGCCACGGAAACAATGGGCAATCGAGCAAACGGGAGGTTCCCTGCACCCGCCAGTTGAGGAACCCCACGAAAAGGGGCTGAGCGGATTGCTTAATCCCCAGAGTCTTGTCTAGAAAGACGTCTGGACTGCAGTGGCGTGCCACCCCCCAACCACACCCCCAGGTGGAAACGCGTGAGTGCACGCCCTTTCTGTAGTGGCAGTCAACTTCAGCCCCTTGGGGGAGTGGCTCCGGGGGGTAGCTTCTGCCCAGGACAGCTTCGTGAATATCGGTGCCAAAGATGGGGGCGAGGAAGATCCCCTGCACGCGCTTCTGTTGGACAAAGCCGCGGTGCGTTTCGCCCTGGCGGTGGAGATGAATCCGGAGATCTTTGGCATGGATTGGAAGTCCAGCATTCTTTCCACTACCCCCAAAGAACTGCTCCCAGCCACTATGCAAAGAGTATATTTTACCCCATTGTTTTGTGGGGTAATGGTTGAGTAGTGGAAACCATTTTGTTGCAAACAGAGTCAGAATTGATCCTTCGTGCATAGTCACTCTTGAAACCCTGAATTGTTCCCCTTCAATTGCTCGTGCCTTACGTGCATACATGCATACCTGTTTGCATGTATGCACGCCTGCACGCACTCGCGTGTGGACCCTTGTGGCCGACCCTCGCGGGCCCTCGAAAATGGCTGGTTTCCTCAATGTTGTCCTCAAAAGCCAGCCTAAGACACTGCAGAGATCATAGGTTTCCTTTTTGGTTGTTTTGGTAGAAATTTAGGTGGCCCTGGTGTACCTGGTGGTCTATCACCTACCAGGGCCATCTATTTGCCCCAAAATCGGACACCTATGGCAGCGATTCGCTGCTTCCCGGACGTCCAGATCAGACAAGCCTCGCGCCAACGCCCCCCGCGGCAGCGAGGTTTTGCGCGGCGCATCTTCTGCGGCTTCCCCACGTGGAGCTGCTGTGCGCCAAGGCGCAGCGTGAGACGATGCCGCAGATCCTGGCGCGGCTGCCAAGGCCGGGAGGGCGGGGGAGGGGGGGGGCTTGAGCCCATGGGGATCTGCGAACAGGTTTTTGAGAGGTGGACGGGCTGGAAGTTCCTTGGCCGAGGGAAGGAAATCAGCCACTTTGGTATCACAGAAAGAGGCCCACGTTTCTACATCCACCAGAGGGGTGTCCAAAAGGAGAGTCCTCGCTTTGAGTTCGTGCCAGGCATGAAGCGCTTGGCCGCGTTCCGTGGCTGGATGTCTTCAAGGTGGACATCGATGGAGCGGATTGCGATGTGGCACAAGCGTTGCTTCGCTTCGACAATTCGACTCGGTTGGGTCTCTGCCAGCACCACATCGACTCATCTTACACACGAGGAACAGGGCACGCAGCCTAACACCTTGACTTCTTTTGCGATGTGCCGTGACATCTGGGCCTGGGGGAAGTTCCAAAGCAGGTTGTTTCCCCCTGCCCTAGTTTCCATTCAAGACCGCAAAAAGGGTACCTGTTCTGATCGCTTGCAGGACGTAAGATGTACTTTTTCGCATGCGAAGGGAACCCATCTACCGAACCAAAAATTGACCGGGCACCCAAGAACAGGGTTCCATTCTTCGATTCCCAGGTAGACTTCAACCCCGCTGAAGTCCCAGGGCCCACCCCTGGGGTTTTGGGCCTGTCAAAACCCGGAATCAACAGAGGTGGGCTAAAAAACAAGGCAGCTTTAAACAAAAAGACCTGCTTGGTGTCCTTTGGTCTTTTGTTTGAGCAACCCCCCACCCCAAAGGGGGAGGGGGGTCCATTTTGTTGCATTCTCCTCCGAGCCCTCGACGCAACTCCACCCGCACCTCAGCCCCCAACCCCAACTCGACTCCACGACTCCCAACTCCCCGAAGTCCAGGCCCCCTCCCATCCAGGTTCTTGTCCGCGGCGCGTGCCAAGCTGGTGGTCATGGAGGTCTACGACGGCCTGCCGCCGCCCTTTCGCTTTGCGCTGCACGAGTCGGAGAAGTTGCGGTGGCCCCCGAGGCCGCCCTGGGGCTGCTCCTTGAGCTACCAGGCGCGCGCGTTTTTTTTGCTCGTCTTGAGGAGGACTCGCCAGTTGGGTGGCGTGTGGCGGAATGTTTTGTTTCCCCCAAGTCGGCCAACCCTAAACAAACCCTAAGCCACCCCCAAAACCCGGGGGAGGCGGGGGGGGGGGGGCAGGGAAGGGACTGGCAACCATGGGGGGGGCCAAAGTGCCACTGAACAACGTGCTGGTTGCTAGTTCGATACCCAGACCTCCAGTGGGGCGATCCCTTTTCGTTTTCTGGAGCAAGGGTGCTCCTCTGTAAGAACAAAACGGGCACAGGACGGTCTAATATGAGGAACTGACTTTTTATATGTTCGGTCCATTGTTGGTTTGGGGATGGACATGTTCCCATGTCCATGTCCTGCTGGGAAGAAGTATGAATTTGTCTAGGGCGGTTTGGGTGTTTTTAAGTCTACCTTTTGTGGACCTGTTTAACGGAATTCCTTTTGGCATTAGTAGTGAACCCTGTTGCAACTTGTTGCATGCTTGAGAGGTTAGAAAAGCAAGCTGCTTGAGGCGTCCCTAACGCTCTGGATGTGTTGTTGGTCTACTTGGCGTGTGTGATGCCATGGAGATGTGACTCAGTTGCACATCTGAACTTGAACTTCGACTTGAACTACTTTTATCCCAAATCCTTGCCCTCGTTGTTTTGGGCAAAACCAGGGACCCACAAACATACCCGGTTTCCTTCGTTTTCTCCTTAGCACACATCCAAGAGAATGCCCTCAAAGCACCCATGACAAGCCGGGGTGAGAAGAATCTATCGCTTTGGTCGGAGCTATGGGTGGCTGATACCCGTGAAGCAACCCTGCTTGCAAACGCCAACGTACAGTAGAATGATCCATCGCTTTCAAACATTTGGTGTCACTCGAGGTGCGATTCTTGGAGCAGCTGGGCTACCAGCTCACCTGGTTCGGGGCTGGGAACGCCATTTATGTGCACACGTCTGTGGCGGAGCGGCTAGGACCCGCTGCGCCATGACATGTTTGCAACATGTCCAATGCCTCTTGTTGATAGTTGGGCCATTTTGGTCTAGCTTTGGGGGTGGGGGGGGGAGGAGGGGGGGCTGGCAGGGGTCCCTCAATGTCTTGCTTTCTTGGGCCTGCACCGCGTCTTCTCTCTGGGTTTCGCTTGCATCCAACCTGAAAAAGCAGACCCTCAAGACACAAACCAACAAGAACTGCTGGCTTCGGCAGGCTGCTTGTCGACAGGAGTTTTGAGCCCGTTGGACGAGGTGGACTGCTACGTGACTTGGTTGCCCTTGGCTGGAAAATTGGGGGGTTTAGGGCCAGCTAGGGGAGCCTCCGAAGTGATAAAGTCATGAGGGAGATAGGAATCCCAGGTCGGTATTGCACACAACGCAAAGCATGGTTTGACCTGAAACATCCTTCCAACTTGTGCGAAAAATAGATTGTGCCCTCGGCAGATTAAGCCCGGATGATATCAACAAGCATTATAATCCTGGCAGTGCTAATGCAATACACATGTATACACACATAAACACAACATGCATACATATACATACATATGTATATATTTATTGTGATTGGCCATGATTCATTTCATCATCAGGGATGTCGCGGTAGTGACTGACCTGTGATGTTTGGCTCAAGATTTTGGGTTCCGTCGCGCCTCGAATGGGCGTCGCCGAACCCCTGCGTCGACCGACGGCATCTCGGGGGAGAAAGAGACCTCGGGCTGCCGCCAGGTTGGTAGGGACCAGTCGTGCGGCCTGTTGTCGATCAAGGTTGCGGGTTAACCCTTTTCTTGTTTGGTTTGTTTCCCTTTGGTTGTTGTTCTCTGGTGTGTGGGAAACCCTGATCTTTGGGACCGGGGATTGGTTTGCTTTTGGGGAACCTTTCTTTTGTGGCTTGTTTACCCCAACTTACCCATTGCCTGGGCACAGGCTCGTGCCCGAATCACAGGTTATCAGCCGTAGGACTTTCCTACGCGCTTGAGACCATCAACTACAAGCTCAATGACGTCGACCCCACGTTCGCACAGGAGCGTCGTGGATGAGGAGGCCATCCTAGGTGGCCTCCGCTCAAGTGAGGACCTACCGGACTATGACTACGAGGAATTCGAGACAGGTTCAGCAGGTCAGGACCGCAGGGGTGATGATCCCGGTAGGGACACACCCAGAAGCCGTGGCAGGTACACTGACGATGGAGACGACCGCATTTTCCGTCAGGCCACCGATGATGAACAAGGACGAGGAGCTCGCTCCGGTAGGAGCGGCTCCGAATCAGGTTTCGGACAAGGTCATTTGGACTTCATCAGCATGGCGATGAACATGGCTCGTCCTCACACGGACGATCAGGAGGCTCTGCCTAATCGACCCCCTAGGTCTCTTTTTCCAGGTGAAACGCAAGCCTCGGATCAGGTTGAGGACAGACCGTTAGGTCCGGGAACCATGGTTTTGGCTCCGAGAGATATCTCGGGTCGATCAACAGGTTCTCAAAATCCAGGTCAGTTTGATGAGCAAGAGGGCGTTTGCGGGCATCGGATACGATGCCCTGCTGGCGTCGTCCGCAGGTTGGGGCAGTAGCGTGAAGCAAGAGTCTGATACTAATAGGCCCAACCCGGTTTCGACGACCAATTTTGAGTTCAATGATGATGAAGATTATGCCGCATTTGCGGATCGTCGTGAAGAGGAAGAAAGTTTGTCGTATCGGAATGCAAGGAGCCGTGCTGCTGCGAAGGCTAGGAGTCTCTCTCGTGGAGCTGCTAGGGACCTTCGTGTGGACACGGATGCTCGGAGTGCAAGAGAGCGGATCGGGGACAGTCGGGGCACCCTTAGGGGTTTGGAGGCCATCCATGACGGAAGAGGACCGGTAGGTCCTCCCGTCATTGATCCCGTCCCAAATGTTCCCCCTTTTCCCAACATCCAGTTTGGAGGACCGCTGCATCAGAGAGTCGGGGATATGAACCGGGGTACTGGTTCATCCAGGATTACTCAGCGAGCCGCCGATGTGATTGAGGCAGGCGCGAGGGACGGAAGACTTGCTAGTGCGCTTGGAATCGAGGATCGTCCGCGCGAGATCTCAGCGACCTCGAGCCACTAAGGTCTAGCAATGAGTTCACTCCCCAATGGGGATCAGCAAGCAGGGAACGAAGTGCCTCTGCGAAGAGGCCGTCATCCGTAGCCGGAGGGACCGATAGGTCGAAGGCGAGGAGGGCTAGCCCTGGACCGATAGGTTCAACGCCGCAGGATGAAGACATGTTTGATCCTGCTGATGTTCATATTCATTCCACTCCTGAATCTCATGGGTCGAATGTCAATCCCAGATCCGGCGATAGCCGGGGAAGGGGTATCAGTCCAATCAGGCCGCCCAGGATCGCTGATGCTCCTGTTTCCGACCCCAGGGGACGTAACAGAGTTGAAAGGGTTCCTGAGAAGATCGAGATATCGACTCCTCCAGCTCTGAGATCCCATTCTTCTGCTGAATCTGGAGATGCTAGGGTCAAGGAAGTATTTGACCTGCATATCCAGGAGCTGTTTGAACGAGGCGAGGCATCCGGTTCCGTTGCAAACACCCTCAATGTTTTTGCTAATCAGATCAGGTTACTGAACGGTCAGGTGAGTTCCATGCAAAAGGAATGGCAAAATGAGAATCGGCTCATGAAGGACAAGGTCGGCCGTCTAGCTACCGAGGTTGCGACCCAAGCGGATGCTGATCGTATGCGAATGATTGTTCAACGGTTTGCCGGTGAGGTCATTCCCGATAGCAGGGCCATTGTCAGGCAGGCTATCGATGAGCAAAGTGAGGTTGTGGATCAGAGGATCAACTCGTTATCCGACGAGGTTCGGGAATCCGTTAGGGACCTCGAAGGCGGTATGAGTCAACTTCGAATGCTCGTTGAGGACAAGCAGTATGCTATGTTCAAGAGCCAAGGTGCCTTTCAGGATGAGATCTACACTGAGATCGGGAATTTCGAGAAGCAGCTCCATTCGGTTGAGAAGGCCGTTAGGCTGCTCTCATCCTCGGGTGCTCCCGCTGCATCAGGGCCCGATAGGGCTGCTAGCAGTGGAGATGACGCAAGCTTTCGGGACTTGGTCGCAAGAGTCGATAGACTCCAAGGTGAGAGCGATCGGCATGGGGAATGGGCCACTTCGGCCATTGACGAGCTCCGTGCTGAGTATAGGTCCTTTGCGGACCGAATGCTGGAGTCCCGGAGTGACGGGGGATCTCTTCTGGCCGATAGGCCTAGGGATCTGGAATCACCTCAGGATTGGCGCGGGGCAGTCGAGGAGATCAATCGGAAGATTCAAGATCTCGCGAACAGAGTCCGTCGCCAAGCTCGGAATTATGACACCGTCGTCGAGGATGTTAGGGCTGTGAACGGCCAAATTGTAGTGTTCAATGCGAACACGCAGAGACTCCAGCAGGCTATGGAGGAGATAAGGACAAGATTGGTTGATCTACCTTCGACCACGGATGAGATGCAGGCCGTCGTTAGACGGGAGCTCGTCTACTATCGTAACATGTTAGATGCGTGTATGCGAAGGCTTGGGGCTACCGAGAACAACATCCGAACTCTGAACGAGATGAACACTCGAGTTATGTCTCAGTTTGCCGATCTCGAAGGGAGTATCGAAGATGCTGCTGGCTTGGTCCAACTTGCTCATGACCATCCTCGTGGACACGGGGGTAGGCCTAACGGGGGATACCACGCTTTCGCCGGACAGGGGCACAGGATCAGGTCGCCGACGCCCACTCCTGGAGATGGAAATGCACGAGACTCTGTCCCACCGAATTGGCCGGGTGGAGGCGTTAGCCTAACTGATCATGTGCTGCCGAATGCGCCTGGTAGGGTTGACGCGGCTCCTCGTGCGGCTAGGCGCCCAGTTTCTCCCGTTAGGGATAGGGCGGATAGCCGGAGCAGAAGAGCTCTGCAGATGCAGGACAGGTCGCGCTCTCCACCGAGGCGGACGCACTCTCCACCGAGGCGGACGAGGGAAGAATCACTGGCTCGCGCCAGAGCAAATAGAGCAAATGTTTCGATCTCACCGGATAGGGGTGAGGCCAGGAACAGGAGCCCGAGAGTTGCTGCGGTCCCCGATAGGGTGTCTGAGGTTAGGGCTCGACAATCGAGGAACGATAGGCCGGTCCGCGATAGCGGAAACGCCTCTAGGGATTTGAACCACCCACCTAGGAACGACCGGAACAATAGGGTCGGAGACAATGCCCCGAGTCCTGGCGGTAGCCGAGGGACCCCGGGGGCTCCGCCTGATCGCAGGCAGGCTGCTGGACCAACAGCAAGCGGTGAGCCAGGTGGCAATGGACCTGATCTCTCAAGGATGTGTGCTCGAGACAACCCCTACAGACGAGAGCATCCATGTGCAAGTTTCGTTTGTGTCACGTGTGAGCGTGACTTCTGCGAATTGTGCAGGGGTGATGACGGGGACTGTTGCAACTGTCAGTTCTTGAAAATGAAATGCTGGGCATGTCGAAGGAATGCTCTGGAGGTATCCATGTATTCCTGTCACGACTGTGACAAGAACATTTGCAATGAGCATACGTATCGTGGGGAAGATTGTTTTGAGCGATGCTCGCGCTGTCATGCGGCACATGAACGCGCTAACCGTGGGGCACCGCCTCCCCCTCCCGGGGATGGTGGTGGTCACGGGGGACCATCAGGTCGTGGTGGAGGCAGCGGTCATGGATCAAGTCCGCGTCCACCTCCTGGGCCTGGGCCTCCCGGCGAAGGACAAGGGCCCCCTGGACCACCTGGTGGTCCGACTGGAGGCGGGATACCCTGGAGGAGGTGCTGCGCCAGCTTTCAGTGGTGTTGCCGTTGACTCTCACGGGATTGGGAACAATCAGTGTGGTTCCAGTTTTTATGGTCCTGCCTACGGGGGTGGCGTTAGCCACTACGGGGTTGGAGCTGGCGTTAGTCAGCCCAACACTGCCGCAGGTTACCCATCGAGTGTCGCAAGTGGTGGTAATCTTGGGCCAGGTCTTAGCCCTGGCTACAGCGTTAATGGAGCCGTTAGGCAGGGAGATCAGGGAGATGATGGACGGGACAAGTGCACTAAGTGTAGCAGGATTCTCGAGCCTGGTTTCCCTCTTGTTCCTTGCGTTGGCTGTGGAATGAGGGCGTGTGAGGTTTGCTGTCCTTTGCCTGCTAGGCTGTGTGAAAGTTGCAGGATTACCTCATGTACCCCGATAGGGGCTCTGATTTCCACCGTTGTCGAAAAGGATCGATTCCATCATAAGTGCAACACGATCGTGCTGCCTGCTG